AGGAAAACGCGAAGCTGTACGGGAGGGGTATTTGGACGAGCCATTCGAATGTGTATTTGATTGCGTGCAACAAACTTCCTACAACAAAACTTGTGCTTCCCAGTGCGAAAGGTGCAAACTCCACAGCCTCCACAACGTCGTGAGAAGTCGTTCGCCTTTGGGTGTGTACGTCGGCTGGAAGGAGACTCAGTGGTTATCTTCAACGTAGCTGTGTTATATAATCTAAACACAACATTGCAGCTGTACATGTTCACTATATTTCTTCTGACAATTCATTTTAATGATCATCATTGCAACATCGTCTCTCTCCTTTTACGGAAACAAACTGCAAAATCGTAGGTAAAGCAAAGCAGTCGTTAATTGTCTTCAACGCCACCGGTTTAGATTTTATCAGGTATGGAAAGTATTATGCCTGGACTTCTTAGTTTTGAAATTCCTACTGGTTTTGCTGCTTCAACCCTCCGCTCTAAATTCGCCATTTCCTTGTTTCTGATTGAAACTATTCGCTTTCTAGTGCTAATATGGCACGATAGCGAGTATTAGATCTATTCTCATGCAATATAACTTTCCTACAACGCTTTTACATGTCTTCGGTCTTAGCTTTGTGCCATTCACGTACACATATGCAGTTATTCTTTGATTGACTAGTTCTCCCTGGAGTGTTGCTGAGCTTTGATTTGGAATTGCAACTTTTGCAAACATTTCCATGAATTTCGCTGAATTACTCTAATCAGCAGGGTTCAGCACCTAATGAATCGGTAGCCAACAACCGTGGGTGGTTTACAGATTACTCATTTGTGGTATTGTAACGTTAGTTCTACAGAAAAGATGGCGAACTTCAATGTTCTACAAACAGTACTGGAAGTGGCGCTTGGAATTGCCTATATATTCGTCATTTCTATGATTGTTACATCCAAGCGGAAAAATTTCAAGAATCCGTTTTACACACTGTTTATAGCCACAGGTAAGGTAATTTCAATGTCGACGTTTACTGAAGAGGAATACGCATAATTCAGAGCGATTTTTCCCTGCAGAATTCGAAAAGATGCGGCCGTTTTTTCTATGTAGGGTCCCAATTCCTTTTGCCTCATATGTTTGTCCTCCTCTTAGTAGCAGGGTACACGATGAGATGGAAGCCAAGCTGAGTGGAATACTCAGGTCATTGTGCCACACTCTGGCTCAAAGAAGGTAGACTTTCCGGATAACTTTGGAAATAGATGGAGCGATAAAATTAGGCTTAGGCTATAGTAGGCGTCTTAACGAGTTGGCTCGGTTTCAACTGCGATTAAGGGCTCTCAGACTCAGTATTCATTCCATTTTTTATGTGCTACTGGTCCTATGTATGTATGTACTGTTACAGTGGAGGGTTTCCATAATTTCATTTTTTTCACAGCCAGCACATTTCAACACGACTTCCATACTGACCTTTTGTGTTTCCCAATTTGAACGAGTTCAGAGTGAGAGAAAATTAGTCGGCACTACATCTAAACAGACAGGAAAAAGCTGTCGGATGGCACAAATCGAGCACCGTTAGGTAGGGAAGCTGGTAGCTGTACAGATTCGATATTTCGAAACTTTTTGGTAGTTGCAAAAACGTGGGTGAATGATTTGCATGTATCCGAACGCATCCGATCACATGGATATTTCTAGATGATCTGTCAATAATGACTGTGACGATCATGCCTTGTAAAAAAATGCGGTGAAAATCCTCTTATTCGAGTGGAAACGTTCCTAGGGAAACCATTGGAAGGGTACAGAACTTCCATTATCTGGAGAGAAACCTGGTCGCTCTAAATAGACGCGGCGTGAAATGGAGGGGGTACAGTGGTATTCTCTGTGAAGGACGGTGCTCCAGGACAACAGGAAGTTAAAGGGGTATCGAACAGTGGTGATGCCCTACGACAGCGACTGTTGACCCTGTAGGTGAAAATTATGAAAAACAACTTGGATATACGGAAATGAGAATGATCAGATGGTCTTGTGGTTGGACCCGATTAGACCGGATCAGGCACAAGTGCATAACGGAGATAATATACAAAAAGTCCCTGACTAGCAGAACGGCGTCTACGATGGAATGGGAACGTGCTGCGGAGGCCACTGGATCATAAGAAAGGCATTGGAGTTTGAAGCGAAAGGAAAGCGACCAAGCGGAACTTCGAGAAGCGGAGGAACGTGCTCAAGAGCAGCTTCGCTGAAACAAGATAACGGCAGTAGACGATGCCGTGACAACTCACGAGAACAGCGGACAGTGTCACTAAGTGGATTAGAGAGAAGACAAAAAAAAAGAAGATTTTCGTGCCATGACTTTCGCCACGCTTCCGCCCAATGTGATCCAAAAATGAGCTTATTTGAGAAAAATTTGTATTCTTGTTTAGATGAAGTACGTTCGATTGAAGCATTAGAGGCCACTTTGACCCCGGGTAAATATTCTATCCGGGTAGGAAGTCCGGACAGGAAGTCGAAACTCTGTAGATCTGATCGGTAAGAGAAATGGCGAGCTAGTAATAATGTGGCATTACTTAGGATTCGTCGATGTTGCCGCTATCTACATAAGTATTTTCTTCCGATTCATCCGTGAAGTTGGTATTGGTCCTGAAATAAAGCCTTTTGTCCAACCTTTCGTGGTGATCAGTGGCAATACTTTCTTCGGCCATATGATAGGCAATACGATTATTGCTCTGAACCGTTACTCAGCACTTTGCATGATGAAGAAGTATGATAAGGTCAGTTTCATATCAGGAGAATCACAGTTGTTTCCGTACCAATGTTTATTTCGGAGTGCGTTTCTGAAAAGTTCATATGTATTATTGAATTTTGAAAAAAAGATATTTTGCAGCTTAATGTAGAGGAGCTTCAGATCTGGACTCGCAGAAACGTAAGAATCATCGTGGCTCTGCAGTATTTCGTGGCTTTCATCGCTGTCAGCCCACTTATTGGAGCTCAATTGCTTTACACAGCGAATATTGATGGTACTTATTTGTTTGCTGGCATGGATGAACGCTCCGATGTGGTATGTTTGCTCATGGAAAGTTAGGAAATATGTGGTGAAATTCAGAGTCATTATAGGATGGGGGATGGAACTTACGTGCATCCGAGGATGCCCGCGGCAACTTCCACGTCGAAGTTCGTGACGATTTGTACTACTCTGACGCCAATTTTCGGGGCACAAACTCGAAGAAGAGTAGACTAGTAGAGTCAGATGATCCTTCTCATCTACTCTACCTCAAATTTGTGCTCCAATAATAGGCGCTAAATTCCTTCAAATCGTTACGAACTTCGCCGCGCATTCTACCGCACGCATCCTCGGACGCACGTAAGCCCACATACCCTTATAGGTTGCCCAGTCGGATCGCTCGGCTGACGCGGGATCTGCTCCTTTTTGTGGCAAAGTTGCTATGTAAGAATAATTTTGGGGTTCTCTTCTTCCTACTGAAAGTCCCTACTTTCTTTATCACCAGTTGAGCTGCGCACGGTATCGTGCGCGTTTCATGATCTTCGATAAAAGGACTCCCTCAGAGATAACTCTGAGCGGATGTATTCTAGTAGCTCAGAAGTGGAGTCCATCAACAGTGGATTAATAACGAGTTTTTCTGCAATAATCGGATCGCTTCCCCTTCAAATCGTAGAAAGAGCCCGTCGCCTACGTTTTCTGCAATTTTGGATGCCCTGGTACAGTTGATCAGAGTGGGGGGAGGGGGGGGTAATGTTTTCGGCTAAACACACACACATACACTTCGTGAGCGCCTCACCCATCATGATTTAGTACGGCTCAACTTACTTGTTCAAAAAAGCAGTTGGGCTGCGCACGATACCGTGCGCGTCTAATGACTTCTCATAAATGGATTTCCCTGAAGATAACCTGGGGCGCAATGGTCTTGGCAACTCAGTACCGTTCTCTCCCAAAAAATGGGAGGGTGCTGGTTTCCCACCGCAACTGATAACAACTAATAACGTCATAAGCCGTCTACCGAAAGCACTTATTCCTAGTGATTGCACTTGACTATCGTGAAAGTTCGTTATTACCTCCATGTACTAACCTAGACAATCCTGAGAATCGAGAAAGGGTTTCGAGTTCATATTCAGTTCAATTGTCGCCATTGTTGAAATACCCGTACATCACTGAAGATGTAATGAGAAATCATTTCCACTTGCATTCATCCATACTTGTCAAAGTGGGCATTTGATAACATAGCATTTAGCGATCCCCTAGACCCATTATTCCCTTTACTGAACATGTTAAGCATGTAAACGCAGAGGTTGTACAGAAATGTTCATCTTCAGAAATTTTCAAAACATTTTGACCTAGCTAAACAGTAAAGCTCTAGAGGTACGTGGAGTTTGTAAAGGATTAAATCATCAAATAATATTGGTTCCTGTCATGAACATATCATTCACTCTGCTGGCGGACTAGTGCAGCTTTCTCTATCCGAAGTCATCGAGCACAACACTCGGGTGGTTCTTTGGGCAATAAATTCAGAGCAGAGAGAATACAATGCACAGTGAATAGTCGACTTCTTATTAAAGAAATTAGACCGCTTCTAGAGCGTAAATTTTCTATTGATCTTTGGAATCAGGTTTCCAAATATCACCCTCTCGTGTTTCATATGACCTTCAGAGAACAGTTGTACAGAAGGGTATATATTATTTGTTGGTTCTCGATCGACGCATTTTGTAGCAGCAAAAAGTACTTTAAAATGAAATTTTTGAGTAGAACAGGAACAGTAGCGGCGGAAGGTACATGGAACTGAAAACATATGGTTGACTATACGGTCAGCCCTACAATGTTATTAATAATAAAGTTGTTGTTAGTTTTGTCTTCTAGGTCGGAAAGGAAAGATATAAATGCACGCGAACCTGAACATGATACTGTCGTCGTTGCAACATTGTCGCCTGATGTGATGAGGCGAAACTTTGCAGATGATGTTGTTCGGGTAGAATGCAATAATTTGATATGGCAGAGTTTTCAGGTGTTTGGTAGTAGTTCAAATCAAATACCTTTTCTACAAAACATTTTTGTAGACAGTATTCTTGATTTTAGCTTTTGATGAAAGAACTTTCACTGAGTCAGCATTCCGAGCTCTCGATAGCGCAACATATAGTTGCCCATGAGAGAATACATCTTCGGGTAGATATATTCCAACTTTTGTCAGAGTCTGGCCCTGAGCCTTATTGATCGTGGTAGCAAAGGCCAAGCGAACTGGAAATTGTCGCCTCCGAACTCGAAACGGAAGTCCTTGATCTGTGTAGAGATCTATTCGAGGGATGAGAACAAATTCGTTTTTCCTTATTCCAGTAGCAAATCTGCAACCTAGCACGAATTGTCCACATTGATCAACAATAAGTCTTGTTCCGTTGCAAAGGCCTTTGGATGCGTCTAGATTACGGATCAGCATAACGATGCATCCTTACTTCAGCTTGAGCTCGTACGCAGGCATCCCACTTGGCTGCAACCTGTTCAGATGCTCCACTTGATAACTGAGTGAGTCATCCGGGTCTGCATTTTCCACTCCGTCGATGCTCTTGTATACTTTGAGTTCCAGATGCACAGGGATTCGCTCCAGCGCGAGATCGTTCATGTGCGCTACATGAATATTTTTTGGAGCAAGTATTGCCTTTTCCGCTAGCTCTGCTATGTCGTCTACTTCGATGGTATCACCAAAAACTTCACGAATAAGGTCTCCTTGGCTATTGAGAGTGGAAGGCAGCTCGATATAACCAAACACATTTTCTGGATATGTTCCTTCTCCGATCTGTATCAGCATCCTTGCCCATTCGCCACTGTCTGCTGCAGCTCTCATGTTGATTGAAAGATGATAGGTGGTGAAGTTTCGCCACAAATAAGACTTCTTTATGCATGCGTTTTCCAATCTTCTTGTCGCCCTCTTTCAACAACTGGGAGGACCTGTCGAAAGTCTCCCCCTACTATCATAATTTTGCCTCCGGAAGGCGAATCATTCTGCATGATATCTCTTAACGAAAGATCCACCGCCTCCAAGGTCCACTTGGGCACCATAGAGATTTCGTTCCAAAAAATAACGGAAATATCATGCAGAGCCCTCGCTTCTGGTGACTCTCTTGTCATTGTGCTTGTCTTGCAGCCGTCGTGAATGTTCAACTTGGACGTGCTGCTTGCAGCTCTACCTCGAGGAAGCAGATTAGCAGCAATACCTGTCCAAACCACGCATATAACACTTCTCCCTTTTCCCAGAAGGGTATGGTAAAGAGCTGCATGGCTGATTTAACTGTTCCCATAGCCGCTCTGGCTCTGTGACATCGCAAAAGCAATTAAGGTTGCTGAAAAGTGATCGCAACTCTGGCGGCATTCGGAACGCTGCTGCTTCTCTGAGTCAACTTTCGTCATGCGGATCATCGTGCATCAGCCCAAGAGCTTTTGCGGCCTCTTTGAAGCTACTGTAGGTCAACCCGCTTACGGTTCTAAGTTCATCAAATGACTTGGCTCCCTTTCTATTAAGAAGAAGAAGTCGAAGGCTGTAACGCTCCACATCTAAAGGGTTTGCCGTGTACATTCTTCCTATCTCGCGGCCATATTTCTTTCNGATCGTAAGTGCACGGCAAGATTGTGTTCAAATGGCACGTCCCCTTCTTCTCCAACGTACACTACAGCTACTTCATTTGCTGTCGGCTCAGTATAACGACGTGGATCCAAATTCGAACTTTGAAAGATCATTTTCACCGGCATCGCTGATCTTCTTTCCCTTGCGGCTCGAGCCTCCTCTTCGAAAGCAACATCGTTAAGCATTCTGTATGCTTGCGCAAAAACATTAATCGCATGGAAAAGTGTGCTAAGTGACCGGATCAGTCTGGGGTTGCATCTTACGTTAGCTGGATTCCCTGCTCCTTCATCTGCCGCATTGATAAGTCAAGAATGTACACCTGGCCGTATCGCGGCGGCTCACCTTCTCCTGGGCGTGCAGGTCCAATCCTGTGGTAAAGTTGACTGTGTATGCGGAGACAGTAAGGCCCTCGCCCTGGAATATCCAGCTGAGCTCCGGTGGATGCAAATTCAAAAGCACTGTTGTAATTGCGGATATGCTCACAAAACTCCTTCGCCTCAGCATCTTGACCTGTTAGTGATCGACGGAGTTCTTCTCGGTAGTGAGTTGAAAGTTCTCCTGCCCCCTTTCGACTCGGATCTGAAGTGACTGGCCCCACAGCCCTCACATACAACATTCATAGGCCCGTCGTAGTGCTCCTCCGGTTCAATATTAGAGCGGGCTATAAATCTAGTCCCATCTGCCGCTGTTTCAGCTCCTACCTGCTATCTCCGAGATCTCCTTCGTTCCGCTTCTTGAGACTGCCGAGCTCTCCGCTGCTCTTCGCTTTCTTGCTCTCTTTGGAGTCTTGCTCTTTCTGCAGCTCTTTCGAGACGGGCTCTTCGCTGTTCTTCTCCTGCCCGTTTCCCTCGCATTCTAGCTCTCTGGGAGACTGCAGACAGGCGCGCTCTTCGCTGCTCTTCGCTTTCTTGCTCTCTTTGCACTCTTGCTCTCTCAGCGGCTGTTGCCAAACGGGCTCTTCGCTCTTCTTCTCCTTCCTGTTCCCTTAGCATAGTAACTCTGACCGCAGCTCTTGCCGAGTGAGCCCTTCGTTGTTCTTCATATTCTTCACGTCTTCGTATTCCAACTGCTTCGTTTTCGCGCGAAAGGCGACGTCGTTGATCTCGCTCATCTCGTGGCCTTTGCAATCTTGCCCTTGTTGAACAGCTACTCCCCATTTGTTTTTCTGATATCTGAGGTTTCTCACCTCTTTCACTGCTATTGCTTTTATTTATTCCGGTCGTCCTCTTAAGATTTCGAAATGCTTCTTACACGTCCACTCGCTATCCTCTGCAAAGAAGGGTCACTTTAGGTAAAAGAACAAATTAGGTTTCTTCCTAATGGCTTCACTCAGGAACAAAAACTGGGTGTAAGAGGATTGTTAGTCATCTTGCCCCCAATTCCAAGGTTTCTCTTTTCGTTTTTTGTTCATTTCTTATTTCTCAGCTTTTCTCGATTTTGCAACGACCTTGAAGGTGGTAGGGCAATTTTCTTCTCCTCTTCTCACTTCAACGAATAGAAATTCTCAGAGCGTTTTCTCGCACCGAACATTGTGAAATCCCTGCTGATACATTGAAAAATTACGACGGATACAACACTCGTTTGGCCTCAGCCTTAGTAATGTCTTATCCAACACTAAATAGGTCCTAGTTTCCCTTATTTTCAGTGGTAAAGTCATAAACGCAACATTGACTAAGATCTCAGTTCAAAACATCAAACGACAGATAATAGCGTTTCATGGAATTTTAGCCACTGCACTTCAATTTGGAACTTGTTCCTGAATTGACGCCTTTTCTAGCATTATTTACTATGCTAATTCTCGAAACAGTTATTCTAGGCCAGTTCCCTTCTATTTTCAAAAAATCTAAGAGCGACGTGTATGAGCCCAGTCTGGCATATACGATTTTTAGCTTCTCTTCTAATCACTTCTCGAAAAGAAGGAAATGAGGGGCAATTTCCTCCATGATTAGTTCCAAAGATTTGCTCCCTTACGTAACATCAATTCATTTATTATTCCCGTTTTATTCCCGTTTCATACTCGTTTCGTTCTAAATTCTGAATCTGACCCATGTAGGGGTCGTCGCTTCGAGCGAAAAGTTGTAACTAAACAATGGCTTGTAATTATGCAACGATATGCTTTGAAACCTTTCAGTTGTCTGATACTCCTCAAGGATCCACGCGTCAACTGCAGGTTCCGACTTCGCGTTAAACTAACTGTTCGCTTTCCTGTTATGCCTCATTTAATTACCTGATACTGTTTATGAAAAAGGCTAGCTGACCTTTAATGCGATTGATAGTGAAAATTTTTATGGTAAGAGCAAATGCAAAATTATAGCGTCAAATGCACAGATGATGCACTCAAGAAAAGTATCGTACCTTGCAAATAAGCTATCGCTGCGAAATGTACAGGTGAGAAAATATATGCCTAGAGATGTGGTGTTGAGCCAAAAACTGTAGTATTAAAATGAAAAATTCAAATGAAAATCACTTCAGTATCGAAGCCACAACAAAAATAGACTAAGAAACTGGTCTTAAAATACAATGAGCTTTTATGTGGTTGTTGGCTCAAAAATCGTAATACAAAAAAATTAAAATGACCTTAGACCTTAATCAGTTGGCTTTAGGGTATGAGTGCTGAAAAGTGTCGTAGAGGATGAAAGCAGGTCAACCTTAAAAAGCCAGAGCATTGAGCCCAGAGCGTCAGAGTTGAAAAATGTAGCGAGAAGCTGGTTACGATTTTAACTCATGGGTTTATCTGGTTTGAGTTGTTATGTCGAAGAGAGGTACGGAACAAAAGAAATAGAAAGAAAAAAACCAATTGAAATTGAACAACATTCGCTATTGAACTAATTTGCACTCATGATCTATCAAAAGTGAGAGTGGTACATCGCAACATCTGGAGAGTCCTACGATTAACTTCAATATTGCTCCGTATAAACACGTGAAGAAGCATATCATAGTGCTAAGTGACTGAAAGCCAACACAATCCCACGTCACAATTGCTAAGGTACACTACTGATAGAGAGGCATATTTTATTGCAAAAGTCGAAGGGTGGGTAATATCCCAAAAAGAGAGGGTGTGCGAACGATGTTAATAGCCGACAAAGGATGAGTGGATGCATTTAGGCTTAGAAGGGTATACCTCGATGGGTCTTATAATGGCATACGAAGCACAGATCGTTGAATCGTTGTGAAGCTGTGGTACAGTACACTGCAGCTGGTTCCTCAAGAACGGTGTCAAAGAATGCCCAGTTGCGCGCACTTGGCGATTTTTTTAGGTTGACTTCTGAAGTGAGTCGAACAACTGGTAGACAAACAAAATGTACTCCGAGCATCAAATAGTAGATTGCAAGCAGTCGCCATTACTGTTCGGATAAATCACAATTATTAGCGCTGGCGAAAGGAAAACAATAGTCAACCAATTTTTTCACTAACACTCATTTTTCATGTGTTCTTTAGCTCTGCACTTTCCAACGCTAGCAAAGTAGAATCGGTGGCGTATTTCAGTGTTTCGTAGTTGTCCGGGTTGCTGTCAGGAAAAGTGACACCCAATCTTTATGCATTTTTGACAGCTCTGCACTTTTCAACGCCACCACATTTGGAAACGGGAGTCGAATCGATGGCGTATACAAATATTTCATAGTTGTTCAGGCTGTTGTCAGGAAAAGTGTGGCTAATTAGCAGTATTTTAACTAACACCCATTTTTCATGTGTTTATTTAGTTCTGCACATTCCAACGCTAGCATATTCGGAAAATAAGTCCAATCGGTGGCATATTTCAGTGTTTCGTGGTTTTCCAGGTTGCTGTCAGGAGAAATATGGCTAATTTATAGTATTTTCATTGACACCCAATTTTTATGCATTTTTGGCAGCTCTGCACTTTCCAATGTCACCACATTTGGAAACGGGAGTCGAATCGATGGCGTATACAAATATTTCATAGTTGTTTCATTGACACCTAATTTTTATGCATTTTGGCTTCTCTTCACTTTCCAACGCTACCAAATTTGGAAACAGGAGTCGAATTGATGGCGTATACTAACATTTCATAGTTGTCCAGGTTGCTGTCAGGAAAAGTGTGGCTGATTAGCAGTCCTTACATTGACACCCAATTTTTATGCATTTTGGTAGCTTCTCTGCCAAATTTGAACGCTTCAGGTCCAAGTGACTATTTTTGAGGAAACCCTGCCCCCGGTGAGCGGAGTCTACACCTGTCACTTACCATTGGTTTCCCATCTCGCCACCTACATCTCTGTCAAATTTGAGTACTCTACGCTCAGGAGCAAAGGAGTCACAGATTTACCGCGAACTACACTTGTGACGTACTCGCGCAAGTACAAGTAGTAAAGGTTGAACCTCAAACGATAGTCAGCACAAACGCACAAAAAGAACAAATAGTTCATCGCGAACGGCGAAACCAAAAAAATGAAATCAAACAAATAAAACAAAGGAACGGCGGCGGAATGCCGCAATACACACAACCAAAAAAAAGGTCACTCCTAATGGCAGTGGCGACCCTTAAGTAGTCTTATTTCCCGCGCAGAGGTCAAAAAAACCAGATCAAATCGATTAGGGCCTATCGCCTACATCTCCCCTCTGCTAATACGACCTTCTACCACGATACACTTGCCGTCCTCTGAGAGGTCCTCGCTTGACAGTTATGCGTTGGTGTGCACATGAGCAATCGTGTGGATATGGGAATGCGTTGTTGCTACTTCGATACGGATGTGCCTGGTATTCCTGTCTAGAACGATTCTCTCGCTTGGCCTTGAAGTAATTCCGTACACGTTGGTTTCGATGTGTCGAGGTCCTGACGAAACGAGGAAGATTGATTTCTGGCTTTACATATTCGCTTAGAGCCTACAAATATTCAACCACTGTTTCTGCCGAATAGGCGTCGACATTAGAGTGCCTTGGATGTGCTGACGGTCCATGTGAAGGTTCGCATGTGCTTTCTATCATCGGTATCAGGCTGACAATATTCCGCGACATGAGCGCAACCGATTTCCTTGCAAGTTCAGCAGCCTGGTTCAGCTCCATCCTATTCTGTGCACATGCGGCGTCTCCACGGGGCGGTGCGATCAACAGAATCTTCATTCCATTACGAGCCGCTGTTGCTATCGCCGATGCCAGTTTACACCATTCCTTCTTTGGCGGCGAAATAGCACATGTGGGACCGACGAGTATACACGCATTCGCTCCTGCCGTGTCCAGCCACATGATTACTTCACTTAGTTTCCAGTACACTTTCCTCTCGACTTGGCTCTGCGCCTTCAATATCGTGTCGATCTCTCGGAATCCTTCGGGCAGCAGCAGCAGTGTTGTTTCCTCTTTTTGCCTTGCAGCGACTACGTCCATCCACGAGTTCACCTTTGCGGACCGTACCCCCTCGTTATTCATCTCATTCAATTCTCCGATCGGAAAACCCGTTCCGCCGTCGTGAGGTAGACTAAGAAGAGAGCCGTCGTGCAATGCAAGGCTGCGAAAAACATGATGGCAATGCTGCTTAAAAAAAGTGAATGCTTTTTGCGCTCCCGATATAGTAATACACGGATACTTAGGGACAATCATCAGTAAACGTCTGCGGTCATCATTACGCTCGTTTTCAAAAATCGAAATGAGACGAGCTAGACTAAAAAGGTATCAAAGCTTATTACTCCATGAGCTTCGCCAGCTGTCGACATCACATCTTTGAAATGTTTTTCTTTGACTGTGCAACTGTAGTCGCTTCCGCTACCGTCTGGTTCATACAGTCGTCCAGGGCAACGGAAAAAGAAACCCAGTGGCGAATTGTCGTTGCCTTCCACGGTCGCTCTACAAGAAACATAATTGACTTTTGCTTGCCTACGTCTAACTCTTTTTGTCTTTGTTTCCAGTGGCGTGTTACCTATTTCTGGAGGCAATAATACGAGCGGATCAAACGGAACTCTTATCGGTTCATCTTTTTCGTTAATATGCGACTAAAGCGCTGAGTTCTCACTGGTCTCTATTACGCGATATGGGCCACCCCATGGCTCACACAGTTTTGGGAACTTCTGTGCGCATTTTTCTTTTGGTAACTTAAGGAAAACTCTGTCTCCTACTCTTGGGGGTTTCTGTGGGTATGCCTTATGACGCTTGTCGTAGGCCTCTTCCATTTTCTGTTTGTACTTCCCATTGAGTTCTGTAGCGCACTCTTGGGCCAACCGAACCCCTGCCAGTAGTTCGTACTTATAATCGTCAGCGTTGAAGTGGTTGAACGTTACACCGTCTTGGGGGATCACATTAGAAGGATAGTGAGGATCCATGGCATGCAATAGGTAAAATGGACTTTCTCCTGTAGCGTCTTGAGGTGCCGAATTATAAGCGAATACTACCATGGGAAGTAGAAGATCCCAATCGGCTGGTATGACAGTCTTTTTCCTTAGCATTTTTGTTAATGTGCCAATCACCCTCTCCGTCATTCCGTTTTCTCGCGGGTTGTAACCTTTCGTTACCGACTGCTCGATTCCTGTTATCTTGCATACTTCTGACAGAATGGAATTAATGAACTCAGGCCCTTGGTCTGAATGGATACGCTTAGGCCACCTACACCCTTCACAAATCCAGCGCTCAAACAGCGCACGGGCTATTGTTCTTGCTGTCTTATCTGGAATAGCATACGCACCTACGAACTTTGAGAAATGGTCTATCACTACCAGGGCGAATTTGTTGCCTCTTTTAGTCAGGCCATATTCCACCAAGTCTACTCCAATTGATTCATACGGGCCATAAGTAGTGAAAGGCTTTAATGGTGGTGTTTGCATTTCATGCGCTCTTGACAAAAAACATTTTGAGCATTCTTTTGACCATTTTGCAATGTCGGCCTCCATGCCTTCCCAAAATACTACTTTCTTCAGCCTGCGATATAACTTACGCGCGTTGAGATGTCCTGGTAGAGTACCTTCGTGCGCTTCATTGAATACTTCCCTTCTCTTGGACTTGGGTACCACCTTCACAGAACAATTTTCAAGTATCATTTTGAGCTCGCCATTGTCAACAAAGAAATCAGCCACGCGAAACTTACGCGAGCATCTCGGCAGTTTTACGTCTACGTGGTCATTTCCGTGTTCAATCTCCTTCAGAATCTCCTTATAATCATTGTCTTCTTTGAGTTCATTTAGCCATTCGTTATCTCCTGCTGCCAACTCGCAGATGACTACGCTAGGATTATGGAACTCGTCCACTTTTTCATCATCTACTGGGCCTGCCATACTGCGAGATAACACGTCTGCCACTGCATTGGCTTTCCCGGCCACGAACTCAATCTTTATTTTATAGTTTTGGATTTCCAAGGCCCACCGCAACACCCTTGCGGATATGTTAGTCCTTTTAAACAAGCATGTTAGTGGCTGGTGATCTGTTCGGATCACTACATTCAATCCATAAAAAAGAAATGGAATTTCCTCAACGCAAATACAACCGCTAGGGCTTCCAAGTCCGTGATGTGGTAATTCTTCTCGGCTTTAGTAAGGGTTTTTGAAGCGAAGAAGATGGGGTGCAAAAGCTGATCATCGCCCATCTGGCAGAGGACGGCACCCACTCCTTTAGAGGTGTCGGTATATATAATGAATGGTCTTGTCCCGTTTTCAGCTGCAGTCACGTTTGGCTGTGCTAACACTGGCGCAGAAATCATCGCTCTTCTCAAAGCTTCAAAACTCGTTGTTTCCTCATTGGTCCACTTCCATTTTGTTTTAGGACTCGTCAGAGCATATAAACTTCTTGCAAGTTTGGAAAAACCTGCAATGAACTCCCTGTAATAGGACGCCATACCGAGGAACGTCCANAATTCTGCAACGTTTCTTGGTGCTGGGTATTGAGCAATCTTCTTTACCTTATCCGGGTCTGCTTTGATCCCGTCTTTGTCTATGAGATGGCCAAGGAAAGCTACTTTGGCCTTTCCGAAGCGGCCCTAACACCTTTTCCAGCACCAAATAATGACGCTCCACAGTATCGGTAGCTACAAGTATATCGTCTATGTAAACAAAGACTTCGTCATCCATGCGCAATTCCTTAAGAACCATATCCATCATGCGCTGAAAGACTGCTGGACTAGTGCATAGGCCAAAGGGCAGCACCGTAAATTGATATAGTCCTTCACTTGTCGTAAACGCGCTTTTCTTTTTGCCTCCTCTGATAGGCGTATTTGCCAATATCCTGAGGCCAGGTCCATAATCGAGAATACTTTCTTTCCCCCTAGGCACTGCAACACTGTGTCAATTTTTGGTAGTGGATAGGAATCCTGTCGGGTTATCTTGTTCAGTTCCCTGTAGTCAATGCAAATTCTCAATGAATCGTCTTTCTTTTTAACTAGCACCACTGGTGAAGCCCATTCGGAAGAGCTTTGTTCTATTATGCCTCTATTGAGGAGGTCTTTAATTAAACTTTGAAGTTCTCGTGCAGCAAATGGTACTGGTCTCGTTTTTTGTTTTATAGGCTTGTGATCCGCTGTGTCAATGTCATGGACCACTAAATCCGTTTGTATCAACTCTGCATCTGTCACGGCAAACGTATCATTGAATTTGGACATCAATTCGATAGCTTTATCCGTCAGTTGTGATCTCTGCTTTATTATTTCCAAAAGTCGTTCCAGCCTTTCCTCGTAAGAGGTCCACTTTTTGGTTTCACCCACGTCCAGCATATCTCTGTCTAGCTCGAAATGCTTCGGCTTTACCCACACTTCATTTTTTCACTCCCCGACTACTTCTCCTTCTTGAAGTACTAGGGCTTCCGTCGTGTTATTCGTCACCGGTATGACTGTTTCCTTATCTATGGTGCTACATAGGCCGTCCATTATGAGCGGGTGTCGCGAGGAAAAGACTGCTGTGTCCAAGCTGCCTTCATGGGCGCAGGTCAACGATACAAG